GGAGGGGGAAGGAAGGAGTCGCTTTCCGGATCCCAGCCTAAGTTCAAAGATTAGAAAAACAGGTGTTACGTCGCCATGCTAATTCAATCTCTAGGTAAACGCGACGCAGACAGTTATGTGCCGAGGACTTAGCGAGGGTCCGTCACCTCTTAGTAGTGAATTCACTTCGTTTATTAAACGGTATCTACTCGGTATGTGGACTGGTCAGCTTCGTTAGGACGCTGGCGCTGCTCACTCAGCCCCAGAGGACATCGTCTTTTGTCTTTGGAAGATTTCCATATTCGTTTGCTTATGTAGGAGGAAACCTGCATTTCTTTCCTATGAAACACGCTTGTGTGAAGTCCCTGATTCGCCCCAAATCTGCGAAGGACACGGGTTTCAGACTCCAGAAAGGCAGTTTCACACCTGCATTTTGAAGTAGAGGGTTTAAAACAAATGAAGATTTGACTGAAATCCCTTTTAGAATTCTGTAGGAATAGAAAGCAGCTTCTAACTCCTACCTTGTTGTGGCTTTTGATCCGTCCAGGTTGGCAGGGTGCAATGGGTCACCGAAGGTTCGTTCCCTGTAAATTCCGCCTTCCCCCGCCCCCAATGTAGTAGCTAACTCGACCTTATCTGCTCTCTATGTACATTTTACACCTCTACTCTCTTACCCATCTCAGGTTAAATTTGTATTCTTTGGTGATCGAAACCGCCCAGAGTCTGGTCTCCAAGTGGATAGAAAACCACTAGGAAAAAAATGCCCCCTTCCCCATTAGTTGGATTCCAGGCTTAAAACGCGTATTACATTTCAGTGTTTGGATCTTTTCTTTTTATCCAAAACATTCACTTCATTTTGCCAGGTGTTACCCAGATGTGTAAATACCATCTAGATAGCTCCCGTTGTCATTCAGCGAGTTTACTGCAATCGGGCGGCAAGCAGGAGGCAGATGTTTGTATTTTTGAACAAACACACTCTTATGGCTGTTCTGAATGTCAGCCGAATGGCACACACCCCTCTTCAGAGTATTTGTTTTCTCAGCGGCAATTAACGCCACAAACAGGAGGAGAGCACCATTTTCAATGCTTTTTTATAGAAGGTGAAACAACTGTCTCTGAACGTTATCGCCAGGAGAAGGATCGTGGTCAGCAGCACCACCAAAACCAAGCTGTAAATTGCTCGCAGTAATAACTGACTTCAGGGCACCTCAACTTTTTCTCCTTGCTCTCACTTGTCTTCTATCACACAACGGAAAGAGAAGACGACTTAATGAGAGGGTCTCTAAGATGTAATTTGTCCTCAACAGTACTTGCGAACCTATTTTAAATGGCTCCTAATGGGAAAATGTGACTATTGTAAATTCATTCATGCACACTGTACTCTTTCTGTACGAATACTGTTGTTGGAATTCTGTCTCCTAAAACAAAATCCAACAAAAAATCTTTGCTGACATCGAAAATAACGGATCATTGTGAGCTATCTATCAATTGATCTGTCTAACCCTATTTATGTTATCTCTTTTCCACTATGACTCCTCGCCGCTCCCATAGGAAAATTCCCAGCTGAGCTTTCTGATGAACAAATCAGACCCCAGAGCCGACCCATTTAGAAAAGACGCCCTTTTTTTTTTTTTTTTTTTTAAATTAAGTTAATGACAGCTATTCTACTTATCTCCTCTGGCGATGAATTCCATGGCCATGAGTTGGAATCGATTCGATGGCAGTGGGTTTCGGGGGTTTTTGTTGTTGTTGTGTTTTTGTTTGGTGGTTTCACAGAAACAGTTAAGTAACGAAAGCCCAGCAACCGCCCTACCTCCGTGTCCTCCTCCGAGCTACCTGCCCAAGGGAGGGGCGCGGCCGCCAGGTCGGCCTTTGAGCCAATCCCTCCGGATCCTGGGTGACAACCAACCGCCTGTCGGGAACCGTAGCCTCCAGCACGACCTCTGCAACTCCGGGCCTCTGAGAGCCACTTCGGGGTGCCCGGGCCACAGCAGAACGACCTCAGGGAGCGAAAACCACAGACCCCGCAAGCCTCCCGGCCAGGTCCGGGAGACCAGGAGCAGCGACAGAGGCCTGGCAACTCGGACCGCAGCGCCCAGAGCGCCTTAGGAGAGCCACCGTTGCTCGGGTCGCAGGGCAGCGGGCGGGGCGCGCGGCAAAGGCGCGGGGCAGGTTGGCGTCAGTCAGCCGGGCCGGCCAATGAACGGCGTGCCTCTGGTCCCTTCGGGCCAATCGAAAGCGAGAAGGCTTGTGAGTGACATCAAGGGTGGGCGGGCGAGAGGGAGCGCAGAAGCGAAGTTGAAGCTAAACCCTGTAAGCTATAAAGAAGTTACAGGGGGGCGTTTTCGGTTTCCAATTAGGAATAGTACTAGCTTCTTAGCAACTACCGAGGAGGAGGATTCTAAAACCACCTCACCGGTCCCAAAGCCCGCACCCCTCCCCTAATTCATAACCAAGAAAAGGGATCCTGGGCGCGCTCGGCTCCTCTCTGCCGGTGGGAAGCGGAGAGGCCGGCGGAGTCGCTTAGTTGGACAGTAGGCGGCATGAGTGCAATTAAGAGGTGGGAGCCTCCGCACCCTTTGCTGCCCGCGGGGACTGAAGGTAGGTGAAGCAGAGGACAACCGCGGCCTGGCCTGCGGTGCCCGTGCAGCCGCAGCTCCTTCAGCTCTGCGGCAGGGGGACAGGCCAGGAGCCCCCACCCGGAGGCTGTGCCAGGCTATGGTGACTCTTAGTTATCTAGTGCTGCTATAACGGAAACACCACAGGTGGCACATAGACGTTGCTTTTCACAGCATAGGAGACGAGAAGTCCAAAGTCAGGGCGCAGGCTCCTGTCGGTGTTGGCGCTGGGGAAGGTCCTTGTATCTTCAGCTTCTGTTTCTTGGTTCCTTGGCGATTTCCATGTGTGTTGGCATCGATCTTACCCCATCTCTGCTAACACCCTGGTGCTGCCGCGCCGTCTTGCAGTCCCCGAGGGACTTGATGTGTAAGTGCCACTTTTTGAGAACTCCCTCAGAATGGAGACCCAAGTTAGGACGCCAAGTCCCCGATCCTCCCCAGTCTTGCTGGCTCATTTGCAGACACTTGAGGCCGGACCAGGCTGTGGCAAGTCTCCTGGGGGTCTTCACAAAGAGGCATTTGGTTGTTTGGGCAACTTCCCAGGGGGCTGGAGAATGTGGCTAGCAAGGGTGAGGGAATGCGAGCATTATTTGCCAGGGGCCCCCGTCTCGCTGCCTGATTTCTCCAGATCTTAAAAACCCAGCAGAAACAATCTGTTGAGGAAAGGCGAGGCTCTCCGAGGCCCTTTGCGGCGGGTTTTGGGGACCTGGGCGAGGGGGTGAGTGAGTTTTGGGGCCGCAGATCTCATATGCTCTGATGCTGTTGTCTTCGCAGCGGCCTGAAAGAAGTTCCCCGGGATTCCTGTTCTCCCCAGAGTGGTTCAGCGCCGGCCCCAGTGCCTCGGGATTGAAGAGCAGACTTCGGCGGTGATTATGTGGAATTTTCAAGGACCAAGGTTCGCAGCGCGGAATCGAAGAAAAGGCTGGCTGCTAAGGGGTCCAGCCGTCATTTGATACCCGGATCCCCTCAGGATTGCCCAAACTGCTTGTGGATCAGCAACTTCCCGCTGTTCATATCCCTCGTTTTCCAAGAAAATATTTTCATTTCTCAGCTCTGGTCTTTTATTGCCATCAGTACATTCTTTCCGCTGCAAAGACATCAGCCCTCTTCATTCAAAGTATGCTTTGTGTTTTTGTCGAATATGATTTCTAATTGAAAAGTTTATTTTTGGTTTTGGATGAATCTGTGGAGTTTACGGGGTAAGAAAAAAGGGGGAGCGAGACACAATGAAAGAGAAGTCCAAAAATGCTGCCCGGACTAGGAGAGAGAAGGAAAACAGTGAATTTTATGAACTGGCTAAATTACTGCCTTTGCCCTCGGCTATCACCTCGCAGCTGGACAAAGCATCCATAATCAGACTTACCACCAGCTATCTCAAAATGAGAGTGGTGTTCCCAGAAGGTAAGTGACTTTGCCCAGATGGAATTTCAAAGGCAGAAGGGGTGCAGGATTCACCAGGTAGTGAGACTGGATCGGTGGGCAGAGAAACACATACTTACATATTTACATCCGCACTCTTTGCAAAGGGGAAGGCAAGTTGAGCCTGTCTGCTGGTCTAAGGAGCTCCCTGAACAGAGCACTTGTGTTGCCTTTTCGTGGCTCCTTCTACTTCCCCATAAATACTTTCTCTTCAGTCCATCAGATATGTTTGGTTGGGAAGCAGCCCAACAGTGCTTTTGTCAACACTTCAGATACTGGACTCAATTGAAAGTACTACTAATCCAAACACGACTTTCTTTTTTTATTCCTCTTGTTAGAATTGTATCCAGTAGAAAGCAGGAGCACTGCCAAATTCTGGCATTTTTTGCTAATATAGATAGGCCCATGTACATGGTGCTACCAAAGCTAGGCAATCTTTTCTCCCCAGTTCTATAGTTCTGCAAATGAGAACAAGCATATTTGCAAGTAAACATGCCCTGAATTTACCTTGTCTCATGAAACACATTCATTCTGTGTTTTTAATATGTGCGTAGATCCTGAAAGTAACTTTGGGGCTTGTTGATTTGCAAATCCTGGCTTGATATTATTTCTGAAAGGGTAGGATGGTCCCCAAACATGTTTGACTAAACTATGATTGCTAGCCACTAGCCTCCTTGGAAAAAATCATCTGGATTGGGAAAATGATCTGGACCTACAAGTCAGAATTGCTGAGCTGTTGACATGATTTAAAACTTGTATTTTAGATGATCTAGATTCACTACTTACCAGCCCACTGTCCTGTATTAACCAGTTTTATTACTTAGGAGAATGCCCTTTGTCTTTCATTTATGCTTCCTTCCAAATAACATAAACAGATTTTTGAAAAAAGTATTTTAGATTTGTCTTTGCTGACTGAGGGGAAAATTCAGAAATGAAAAAGAGTATTAGACAAACAAATCAACAAAACCCCAAGAGAAAGAACTCTGTTTATGATCAAATCAGAATTCTTATTTGACTTCTAGAAGTTTATGTTATTGTTGATTTTGGGTGTTTTGGATTTGTTTTATCTTAAGGAAAGGGGGGAGAGAGGAGCAAATCGTCCTTATTAGGTTTGGAGTTTCACTTTGCTTGATCGGGAACTTTTATCAGTTACTATCCGAGTCAAAAGCTTGGATAATATACTCCAAATTAGTTAGGGATACTAACGGAAAACTTAAAAATATATAGATAGTTCAGTTCTACTCCCCAAATTTAAATAGTGATATAGTCGTCTTAAAGCTGCTCCTTGAACAGGTCTCCTCATTTGACCCTGAAAAACCACGGGAGGAGAGGAATCAAATGTAAATTACTTGAAAAGTTAGAAAAGGAAAAAGAGAAAGAAATAGGACTTGGATATTAAAAACCATACTTTTCATTCAAACTGTGCTGGGAATTGCAGATGGGGAAATTACTATTAAGCACACTCCCTTCTGTTTAAAAAAGAGATCTCGTTGTCTTTGATACTGTCAGCGCCTACTTTATAAAAATAAAGCGATCGCGAACTCCGCTGGCCGCGCGGTTCCTAACAGGATTATTAGCAGTGATTTGTCAGCCCCTGCGGTCTCAGTGGGCTCCCTTTCTGCGTGATTTCTAGCCGGTCTCGTCAATTATCAGTGCCGATGTCGCTCGCTGTTTGATCAGAAGAAGCATATGGTGCTGCTGGTGGGCAGCGAGTAATCGCCGGCGGAGAGAATAGCTTCTCCGCGTCCTCAGGCGGCGCAGAGTTGGACGCTCAGATCCGAGCAGGAACAGGCGCGGCGGGGAGGGGCTCGCTTGTTTTTGTTGTTGTTTTTGTTTTGTTGCTGTATTTTTAAAGAGAGAAAGCTTTCTTGTTGAAAAGCGCCAACTTCACAAATTTAAAATCACGGGATAAATAGGAGGGACTAAAAGCAACCTCTCATCGCCAACGTCTCGGTCTTTTTTTTTTTTTTTTTAAAGAGAACTCTGGTGAAGAACCCACTGGAATCTCTCTGGGGTGACCAGGCAGAGCCTCCCTAACTACTTTCACAACGACTATGCTTTCTACAGCCCTCCTCAACTTCCAATCCCGGGCCCCTCCCTCCCATCCCGTCTTCTGGGGTGAGTGTGAGGTTAGGGGGAAGAAAGGGATGGTGGATGTGGTAACTCTGGGTTCATCGTTTATTTCTATGGCAACAGGGTCGCTATGAGTCGAAACCGACTCCACAGCATTTAACAACAACAACTTGAGCTCGTAAGTCACCCGCAGTATACACTCGGTGAGCTTATTCGAACAACAGGCTTCTAGGAATGAGGTTTTATTTCTGAGGGTGGATGGGCTTCAAAAACCCCAAACCGAAGCAAGATTTTTAAAAATACGAAAAGACCCACAAAAAACAAACCAAACCACAACTTTAAAAGAAGAGAATCCGAATCTGAAGCTGAAGAAATGGGCACAGCCTGCAGGGGGTGCCAAATTTGGGTTCAGCAAAGTGAGAGTGGACAAGAGTGGGGTCCATGGTAGTGGGAGAAACTGAGCACTTTATATAGGGTTAATCTTCTATACTGATGAGAAATGGAAACAGTTTGAAAAGGAAATCTTTCTTTATATTGATCTCGAAGCCATCGTAGCACATAGTAGGTCTTCAGTAAAATCTTGTATTAAGAATGGGATAAGCAGTTATTTCAAGTTATTTCAAGTGAAACGCATCATAGCACATGTAACCTTTCCCCCCTGGTTCATAATCCGGTATCAATTCTTAGCTATAGGCATAACAATGACTTTAAAAACTTCACTGTTTTGGTGGGATGCCAAAAAGGCTAGCACATTAAATCAACAAACAAAAGCTTTTCATACTTACATTTGAAAGGAAAATAAAAACACCTCGAAATGCAGCTCATTTCCCACTATCCTCATTACTGAATACATCACCATCACCACCCCTTGTCTGGGCACAGGTTTCAGCTTTTATTTACCTGAGCAGATAGCAGTTGAACTGTTGGGGAAAATGAGAGACATTTGAAAAATGAATTTGGTAAGAATAAAGCAGTAGAATGGATATTTCCTAGTTTTAAAAAAACCAACTCAGGGAAGATTACTGTGAAATAGTTAAAACTGGATTTCTCCCAATTGGCAACATTCTATTCTAAAATTGCCTTGCAAAGGAAAAGTTGAGGTGAGAAATGTATAAATCTTTAATGTTACCGTATCCAGAAAGGTAGGAGAAAAAAAGAGATGGTGTGACTTTGTGTGCACCATAGGACAAATTCAACTAAAAAGAAAGCTATATTTGATATTCAGCTATAATGAAATTTTTACTGAAGGTATATGACCTTTGACAGGGTCAAGCATGTTTTCTAAACTACAGTCATTCAGAAACTTGGTAACATTACACTGCCATTTCATTGTGAAGATGTCTTGAGAAAATAAAAATAATTACAAAGTTGAAATTAGTAAAGGCTCAAGACATTCTCTCCAAAGGCTGGAAAGACTAGGGTGATTAAGTAAATCCCCACAGACACTGTCTATACTATTCCCTTCAAAAGCGAAATTCTTAATGGCATATATTTTGAGACCAAGAACTCAAAGAGAGAAAGAGGCCCCATTTCCCACGTGGATGGTGATTTAAAGCTGTTTTTCTTGCTGTTCAGGGAAATGATTGAGCATTAGGTTTCACTGTTTATTTTTTTACAGAAGTTTTTCTCATTTAAAAGCCTTTAAGTACAGTTTATGCTCCACGCTGGTCTTCTCTGTTTAATTCCAGTTTTGATGTTGCCTTAAAATGTGGAGTGCAGAACTAAACTCCGTGGACAGCATTTGCAAGGCAGATTTACGTGCTAGAAATTGTAGATCAGAAGAAATTCTTTCATTTAAAGGGAGGGATCACTAATAAAAACAATAACAAAAACAGCGCATCATAAGCTAGGTTAGGGTACAATTGCTCACCTCAAGCTAAAACCGGACTTGGTTTCCAGGCCAGTATTTTTTTTTTTTCAGTTCCGGAAAATCTCGCTTGTCACTTTTGAGTTTTTGCAGACGTGAATGAGAACAAAATACGAACCCTTGCGGACTGAAGGCTAAGAGTGGATTCTTGCCGCGTTTCTCTGTACTTTGGACCAGGTATTACTCAAGACACTGAGGCATTGACACAGGATTGTAATGAGCCACCCCACTGTCAATCCCTGGTGCATGGAATTTGAAATTTTGTGGAGGAGAGGGGATTGGGCCTGTTGCACTGAAAGTGCTAAATCGGTGTCTGAGAATTTCGTTTTAAACCACCTTTGGCAGGTAGCTCTACCGTATGGGCGGCCCCTACTCAGAGTCGTTTTCCAGTGACGGCTCCGGCCAGTCCTGGGCCAGTAGCTGTACGGTCCAGAGAGAGCAGTTAGGAGAAGCGTGTGCGCGGCTGCGGCCTGGCAGGCCGATTTGGGGCACCCCTACTCTAACAACAACAACAACAACTCTCCTGGTGGCGGGGGTTTGAGACCCCGCCCGCTTTCACTCCAGAGGCAGCTGAAGGTGCACCTCCATTCAGCTCACGACCTCCTAGCTTGGTCCATTTGGGAGTACCTGTCGGCCCTTTGAGAAAATTTGGGGATGTCTCGGGTCCCGGCCCGGGGCAGTGGTCTCCCCCTTGCAGGCCCGCATCAGCCAACCCTCCTGCAGCTAAACCTTAAACCAAGATCCCGCCTGCGCGAGGCGTTCCGGCGAGGGAGGGTTTAGTCTGACAGTCTGGGACCTTGCCTCCTATGGAACCTAAGCGAGATCCGCCTACGCGGGCCGCCCGGGTGGCGGTGTGGCTAAGGCCCGGGTCGGTTTGAAAACTTTTGAATCTTGGGGCGACGCCCCTGACACATTTTGGTCGCCTCATACTGACCGCTGGTCAACCCCGCGTGCATTTTCATTTCGACGGGTTACTCAGGATCTGGCAGGACGTCACCAGCCCCTCATTCGTTCAATTCGCGTCATCTGGAGGCCGGCTCGGACTGGGTCGGCAGGGTCAGGCCCGATTAGGGGCTGGAGTACTGTGAGCGTTCAGAGAGTCGGTAAGGGAAGACGTTTCTAATATTGCTGAGTCCTCTGGGCTCAGCCACCGAGTCTTTAGCCCCTCAAGAGGTAAGCAGGGGAGACCTGGACGGAGGTCATCGCTTTGCACACACTGTGGTGTCCAGGCAGCTGTGACATAAAAGGTCTTTAAGCACAGTTTACGCTCCATACTAGGAGCTTCTCATAGCTCGGCCACACCCGTCGGGTGTCCAGAGAAGGCCTCAGGAGGGGCGGACCTCCGCTTCGGAGATGGAGCCGGGTGCACCTAGATGCCTGAAGCATTCTCCTGCTAGCAGACTGATCCGAGAGCATCGTCCTGGCTGGCGGCTCCTATTCTTTGCCACCACCACCACCCCCTTTTTTTTTTATCTCCTGGGAGAGCCCAGCTATTGCGGTGGCCAGAGCTGGAGTAGTGAGGCAATTTAGTGACTCGACTCCAGAGAACGCTCAGACATTGAGCAAGGATGCGCAGATCATGCCCAATATACGGGCTTGGGCTTACTCTTTTGGGCCAACCTGTTCCCTCACACCCCAGGCTCGCTAGAAACCCAAGTAGCTGAACCAAGTCCCTTGGAGACCTGATGTTAGGAGCGTGACCTCGGGAGGGTTTTTCCCACCGTAGTCACCAAGTTGTCATAGCGTCATGGGATCATGGGATAGTCCCCCTTTTCCCCCCTCCTTATCTCCTAAACACATATCACAATCAGTCGGCGAAAGTAAGGTTCCGGAAACCACTACAAAGGTAATAAATAGCTATTGAAATATGTTGCAAATCGAGTCAATTTCGAGGCATAGGGACCCTGTACAGGGTTTCCGAGAAGAAGCTGGTGGGTTTGAACCGCTGACTTGGTGGTTCGAAGTCCAGTACTTATGTTGTGTTGTTGTTAAATGCCGTCGAGTCAGTTACGACTCATAGCGACCCTGTATTGGATTTCTGAAGAGCAGCTGGTGGATTTGAACTGATGAGACTAGGACTGATAGTACTGATCCCACAGTGCCACACTAGGAATCCTTGTAGTGGTTGTTTATTAAAACAAAACAAAACAAAAAACAAAACGAACAGAACAAGCTTCTTTTGCTTCTCTTTCTGCCTGGGTGAAGGAGGCGATGATGCTGGGTTTGTAATCTATATTTTGTCAAGGGTGTGCAATTCATTCCGAAGGAAAAGCTCGATCAATTTATTTTTGCTGCTTGCAATAACACAGCTGGATGAAACTTTGAGCTCACGCTAGACTGGGCTCATCATTCATTCGCCAAGAACGGGCCTAAATGGTGCCTGTGGGATTAGGTCAATTTTAGTGGATCTACTTCGCCTCATTTGGTTACTAATTGGTTTCTTGTTTTATAAATCGAAATCTCATTTTCAGGAAATTACAAAACCCGTGCAGTCAGTCCATTGAGGTAATCCTTGGGTCAGGGGGTATTTAAATGGAAATGGCTCAACCACGAACTGAGTAAAGCAACAGTGAAACTTCCCTGGGTTTTCACATGAAATGTGAGCTAGTCCTCTAGATCCATAATAGATACATCTCTTCTAATGCTACTTATGTAAATATGGTAAACCAGACTTTAAGGGAAGAGGGGGGCCTTCGAGAAGCAAAATGTATCTGCTAAAGTTAATGTGGCATATCTTGGAAATCTTCCAAAATAGATTATGTTTTTCTTTGTCTTCGGCCACTTTAGCTGAGGAAAATCCTTTTGTCTAAAACCTGATTTAGTTATCGCCTCCCTCACAGAGCTCCTTTTCTCCTTGCAAACCTCCGTTCCCTCGTCATCACCGAATTACAAGAGAATCTTTAGATCTTGTTCCCACTGTAATCCCGCCGCAAAGGGAGCTGGTTTCCTCCTCATTTTAAACAGACAATCAAAGGATTTGCGAATTTTCTGCGGTAGGTCAAGTGCAGAAACGAAATCTCAGCTTACCCCCTCGCTAACGGAAACTGGGTGCGGGAATGCGTCACCGCAGGCAGAAGACGAGGGGGGAGGGCAAAGAAAGAGGGTCTTTGACACACTCCGGAATTCTTGGGAAGGGGACCCCTCACTGGGGCGTGGGGAAGCCTCCTTTGCACCGCGGACGGTCTAGAACGGCCCTGATGTTAGGTCAGGAAAGCTCGGCAGGTAGACTAAGGTTGCCAGTCTCTTATAAAACATTAACTCCGACACAAACGTTCGTCGGAGATTTGGACAGAGAACATAAAGAGAAGGCAACGCTCCGTGAAAGTAAAAAGGTGGAGAGGGGCCTGGGGAAGGGTTACCGAAGTAAGTCCCTGTTAACCTGCGCCTGGACCGGCTGTTTATTAACCTGCGGGAAAGTCTGGTTTTCCCTGGTAGGCGCATACTAATGAGGCCTGCGCCGGGAGTTCGGAACCAGTATTTAACCCCAAGTCTGCCGGGGCATTTGCAAATGATTCAGGTGGGAAGGCTGCTTCAGGTGTCTTCCAGCTACTCTGCACCTCCCCCACTTAGTTTTAGAATAAAGATAGTTATTGTTGTTGTCGGTTTTTGCCCCTAGTTCAGGTTTCACACCCATCTCGGAACTGTGGGTAACGTGTCCGAAGACACCATTGGACCTCTGCCCGCTCCGGAAAACCCCAGGCAGAGCCTGGCCCCTAGTCCCCGTGAAACTTTAGGGTTTCAGGACTCTGCTGGGCCCAAAGGGTCCTTGCTTCTTACAGCATTGTTCTCTCCTGACCTGTCATGCTCAGGGCCGCAGGGTTTCCACAGTCAACCCCTTCTGGGTGTGTATGTGTGTAACAGGGAGAGAGGTGAAGAAATGATGACGTCGTGCCAGAAGCCAAGGAATAGGGATGGCTTGTCTGAGACAAGGGAAGCGAAGGGCAGGTAACAGGAAAGAGGAATGTGTGCAGGCCAGGGTCCTTCCGGAGCAGTCCGGGAGGACCAAAGGACTGGAGAGAGGAATCACTCTGGGAAGGGAAACCGAAGACTGAAGGGGTTTAGGAAGCTTGAGGGAGTGAGAAGCGTGCGAGCGGGGGCGGGGAGCCTGTTGTTTGAAGAGCGGTGGGGAAATCGTTAGATTTATTTAGATGTGCAAACACCTAGAAAGACCCGATTTCTTAAGCTTAAGGGGCTCTGGAAGATACTGGTTGTGTGGATCTTGATCGTTTGCTTAGCAAGAGCTTCTGACGAACTCCATATTTTATTCTGAAAGACCCGCCCCCCACCTCCATATTATAATGCGAGTTTATGTTTGTCATTGTGTGCTTCATGGTGATTTGCCACTTAATGCAGGAAATGACTTTTTTGAGGGTGGAGGAGGGGGGTCATGTTAAGCCTGCTTAATGGTGTAAGCATAAAATAGCTTAACTACCTAGTTAAAATAATTTCAGCAGCAACACTGTTATAAGATGCTACCCATAAACAAAACTCTGCAGGTTGTTACTTTTCTTTCTCCTTCTGCAAACAGGCATTATACATATAACACATGTTATTAAAAAAAAATATTCCGCCTTGAGTCTTGAGCATTTTAGTTTTTAGCCATCACTGGAGAAATGATTCATGGTAAAACCTCGAACGATTTTAACGTGGTAGTATCAAGGACAGGAAGGTCTGTCTTTGTTAATAGACGATGCACCTGGAAGAGAAAGAAATGGAATGATTCTCTGTATCCTGAAGGAAACAGAGTAGTGTTAAGAAGGTGGCAACACCTCAAAGTAACTAGCTTAAAAAAGCTTTCTTCCTCCTTCTCTTCTTCCTTCCTTCCTCCCTCCCTTGCTTTCCTTCTTTCTTTCTTTTTTGGTTGGGGACGACGGAGGTCCAGGAGCTAGAGGTGGAAAGGCAGAGGGACAGGGATTAAGCAAGAATGCTGGGACTGGAAGCCAGTCGCAAAGGGCTATTTCAGAAGATTTAAAATCAGAGTCAGAGGGGAGGAGAATGGCGGCAGAACCTTGCAGCCAATCAGTGAATCCGTTACGGACCCGCAGGACTTGGCCCGCCTGCTCCAGGTCATTCGGGATAGGCACTGGCGTTCGCCGGGATCTGAGGACATCTTTGGGCTTATAACAAGGATGTTGATGAAAACCTTGGGCGAGAAATAAAGTGTTCCTCACTTCCGTAAGCATACCAGTGAGCCTACCCAAAAGTTATTTGCTGGAATGTCAGAGCCCCTCCAGGGTAAGACTGCCCCCCAGACTTGGCCACTTAGTGTCCTACGAGAAGGGCGCTTGACTAAGGCCGTGCTCTCATTGAGAAACAAGTGCGGGTCCTGGAGAGGGAGTATGACCTCTGATCTACCCTTCAAGTTGGGAGCACGGAGCCGAAATTTACAGACTCTGATCCTGAGCTGTGGGTGGGATACAGCAGGAGAACTTCTACAGTTTCGGTCTCTGGTCGTGTGTGTAGACAAAACCGCTGGGCTAGTCCCAATACTGCCAGCATCTCTGTGTCTCCACAGGGCTCGGCGAGGCATGGGGCCATTCCAGTCGGACCAGCCCTCTGGACAACGTGGGCCGAGAACTGGGCTCCCACCTGCTCCAGGTACCAGCACTGGCCTCCCGGCGGCGCATGTGCGTAAAGGACGCGGATGTTTGGCCCTGAGCGGAAAGTCTTGTTTTCCTGGAAAATGGGATGGGCCTGAATGTGGCCTCTCTCAGCCTCTTCCAAAGTTAAAGCGTTTAGCCTCTTAAGCTCCTGAGAAGCGTTGGCACCTTGGCAGGTTGACAACCCGGACAGTGGGTGTAGTAGAAAGCCACGCAAGACGCGATCAGGGCCGCTGGACCTAGTGAGGGAGGAATAATCATTTGACACCTTTAGGCGTGGGAAATCGTATGGCCCAGAGCCAAGCTGTCAAGCCCTAGGAAATTTTCCTAGGAAATAATAGGAATCTGGTAGAAATGCCCATCAGTGTTTTAAACCTCTACATTCCAGATTCAGCTGCGTCTGCAGTTTCCTGGCTCTTTCCTCTCGCTTTTCGTCCCCTCACCCAGGGAAGCCCAGGCCATGCATGGACTCTCAAAGACACACATACTCCTCACAAGATAATGAGTTTAACCAATGTGAGGCGCCCATTACCACGTTGTTTGCAGTGCACACCGTTTTAAATTGCCCGTTGCCCGCTTAAGTCGCAGAGCAAATATTTAAAATACTAAAACTCCCGGTGGCATTTTTAGGCTTGACACTTGTTCTCTACCTTGCACCCCCTTTATTATTATTCAAGTACACTACGAGTGAGCTCTTTGCATAGGAGCCTTGAACCTAAGCAGTTGGTTCTCCCTAACGGTTAAGGATGCGCAACTCCGGCATCTCATGGAAGAAGTGTCACAGACTTGCTTGTTCTGCCTTTCCTATTTCCCAGATGCGGATAGGATCATTTCACAGGGAAAACTTCTTGGGCGAGCATTCTCTCACCTGAGGCTTCCACACCCCTTAATTCATGTAGAAAGGTTACTGTCCCTTTTTCTTCTCTCAGCCACCTTCCATCAGATATCCCAACCTTTCTATATTCCCATCTAATTTCCCTTAACAATGAACAAAAGATCAAACCAGTCTCTCATCCCTTCTAGCTTTTTTGTAAACTTCTATTTTCCTTCACTCCCAGCCCTTGCAATCTGATGTCTGTCCCTCCAGCTGCTCCCCATAAGCCCCATTGTATTTTGATTCTCAAATTAGGCATGAGATGCTCATCTCGTATTCTCCTTGAACTAGTACATTCCACAAATACAAGCCAGCCAACTCCAAGCCAGACACTTGTCCCCATGGAGTTTACATTCTAAGGAGAACAGACATGCAAACCCACAAAGGTGCACTGTATAATGTACGAAGTTGTGTAGGTCCTATGCAGAAAAATAAGAAATGAAAGGACAAGCGCTAGTTTGAGTGGTGATATTTAAAATGGGTGACCAAGGAACCCCTCAGTGAGAAGGTGATAGTGAAGCAAAGACCAGAAAGCGGTGATATGACTTTTATATCCTCTTCCCATGGTTTCTAAAATAGTATGATTTCCTAATTCATCTCCTCACTCCATCCACCTTCCTGGATTTTCCCAGCACTAGCTGACCTGTAAAGAGCCCTAGTAGCTTAGTGGCTTACCAGCTGGATTGCTAACCATAAGGTCAGTAGTTAGAAACTATAACTCGCTTCATGTGGAAAAAGATGAGGCTTTCTGCTCTCATAAATATTTACAGCCTTGGAAGCCCTATACAGTGTCTCTATCTGTCGGAACCGGCTTGACGGCACTTGGTATGGGGTCTTGGTGTAGCACTGTACAATAACCACAAGATTGGCAGTTCAAACCCATACAGGGTCACTATGAGTCAGAACCAACTTGATAACACTTAACAAGAGCTGACCTGTTTCTCCAAAGTGCCAGCTGCATATCTCCTTTCACAGCTTTAAGGCTTCCTAGGTGATCTTAGCCAACACCATTACCTCATCTATCTTCCCTACACCAGCTGGTATCTATAGTCTAGACTCTTATCCTGAGCTCCAGATCTTATTTCCTACTGTCAACTGTACATATCCAGATGGGGATCTGCATGTAAGTTTTTATCCTCAAGTTAAGTATTCATTATCTCCCTCTCCCAGACTCCCTGTCATACAAAACTCACCACACTTTTAAAATTTTTCAGTCTTGTTTAGTTGTGCTACTTTCTGCTCAATGCCTCCAGCCTTAGTTTCTCTTTCTATTACCAATAGCATTGATTCCAAAGCCAGAACCATATTTGAATTAGACTTTCCCCCATTTCTGTTTCTGTGACCTCCAACTGCTCTAGGCAACCTTCTCTGATCTCCTTATTCCCATTCCTCCCTCCTATAGGTCACCATCCACACTTTGCCAGGAACAAAACATAACAAATCACACTTAGTCATGTTATTCCCTTGCTTAGAAACCTCTGTTGGAACCTTGATGTATATAGGAGTGACTAAAAATTCCTTATATTGGCATCTCAAACTCTCCAAAATCCAGCTTCGGTGTATTTTCTTAGTCCTATGTTCAGTACACAAATTCATCACCCCGGACTCCTTTCCCCTTAGTCCCTGTCTTTGTTTATGCTATTCCTTTTGCCTAACACACTCTTCCTCCCGTCTTCATTCTAAGTTTCTTCCTCAAGCATCAGTACTTTAAAATCTTCTCTGAATTCCCCCCAGGACCCTGACCACTTTATTCAGCTGTGTGGTTTTTATACCTGTCTTCAGGCCGATCACCTCCATTGGATTTTGGGATCCTTGAGAGAAGAGTCTGAGTCATCCTTGACTCCACTGCCTGGACTGAGGCCTCATTCAGAGATAAAGAGACAGTGAAAGCCTGTCAGTTTGCTGCATACTATAGCACTACTCTATGGATTTGTTGCTTCTAAAGTTCCTGTTTCCTAAAGCCCACTCTTCTGGATTCTTTCCAGAGCCACTGACTAGCTCCCCTTCTGTCTCTAAACTTTTCAGACTATCAGAACTGCCTACTGTAATAGATCTTTTCCAAATCCTCTTATTACTCTTTCTGCTATAGGATGCTGCCACTTTGGAGCCCTCCAAAGACTGACACAGGAGACCTTTAGTTATTTCATTGATCTTTGTCCCAAGATCCTAATCCACCTCTTAATTCAGACTGATTTTTCTTCCCCTGATTGTGTGTACACGTTACAGATGTGTCCATTTTGACCATTTGAATCTTGACTGTTGAAAGGCAATAGCCTTATCTACTAATTTCTCTTGATCTCTCCTAGTATGCTGCATGTCCTCAGACACATATTGGGAATAATCAAAAGAGGTGACCTTTGTGGCTAGTTTTCTCATATCTTGCTTCCTATCAGTCTTTTTTCACTCATTTCACTAAAGTTTTAGCTGAACCTCTCTAATCTGCCCTTCCCAGTTTATCCAGAGTGGCCTAGAAGGGTCTCCATTAATCCTGTTTCTGCCTCCCCAGACCCTAGATGGCTTCATCTTCGTGGTGGCCCCAGATGGGAAAATCATGTACATCTCAGAGACAGCCTCAGTCCACCTGGGTCTTTCTCAGGTAGGTGTTAGGTGTGTGTGGGGGTGTGGGCAGTGGGGGGAGTCTACCTAAAGGGGATTGGCTTTTCAAAAGCTTTTTATATTTGCAGTTCTGGGGCTGAATTAATTTCAGTTGAAAGGGGTCTAGGTCTTTAAAAGCGTGTGGATCTTCCCACTCTTTCATTTCTGTTATCCTTTAACTTCTATCCTAGGACCAAATAAGGGTGAGTTTTTTTAGTCTGCACCATCAGCCAGGCACAGTGAGAGGCAATTACATACTTCCTATTAGAATATTGCCAGGGAGTTGCAGTTATTATTATGATTCTTATTTCTTAGATAAGGAAAATTAGGTATAGATAGTCTGGGATGAGTGGTAAGCAGCAGAGATGCAATTAGAACTCAGGGTAGACTCCAGAATTCTAGCTTTTATCCCCGACAGTCCTCTCCCTGGTCGGTCCCCCACTCCCCTGTAACCGGGCAGTTCACCATCACAGGATAGTGATACTTTGCTCTTTAAAGGTTGAGCTGACCGGGAACAGTATTTATGAATACATCCACCCAGCTGACCACGATGAGATGACGGCGGTACTCACAGCCCACCAGCCCTACCACTCTCACTTTGTACAGGGTAAGAGAAGATGCATGCCTCTAACACTAGCCCATCAAGCCTGCTTTTAGCTTCTCCCCACCTGCCTATCTCACTTCCTGTGCCCTCCTCCACTCCTCTCCCCTAGAGTATGAGATTGAGCGCTCCTTCTTCTTGAGGATGAAATGTGTCTTGGCCAAGAGGAATGCGGGCCTCACCTGTGGTGGCTACAAGGTGCGTGTTGGTGTGTGGGAGGTACCAGTGGTCCTCCTGAGTGGGTACCCTCAAACGCATCAAAATGCTGCTGACTGGATGTGCCTTGTGGGTCATAGAACTTTGTGAACACCTGGGAACTAAGCCTGACCAGGTAAAGCTAATTCTAGACTGTGGGTGTTCTTAATCTGAAGCCTGTAGATGGGCCTCAGGAGTCTGGAAAACATCTGAATAATTGGTCATTTATGTGGATTGTCAGAGTCTACCCAAAGAGACCTGGTGTCCTGGTGTGGCACTGTGGATAAAGCACTGGACAACAAAGTTGGCTGTTCAAAGTCACCAGCTGCTCCTCAGAAACCCTTTACAGGGTGGCTAAGAGTTCTGGTATGGTGCTGTGGGTTAATGTGCCAGACTGCAAAGGCGGTTCAAACTCACCAGCTGCTCCTTGGAAACCCTATACAGGGTCTATGGGTCGGAATCGACTCGAGGGCACTCAACAACAACATGAGTCTGAACGTTAACAACCTATGGAGACAGATTTTAACCGCGGAGTTTTTAAGAAAAAATGTTTAAGCTCTGAGCTGTGGTTCTCAGGTTGAATGCTATTCTAAGGCCCCACCCTGCGATTGGATGCACTTTGGTTGGCGGACCTGGATCCCTGCAATTTTACAAGCTCCCAGGTAGTCTAGTTCAGTGATACAGTTACCCCTTGAGACACCACAGAGCATCAGTGACTTTGGATACCTTAGTGCGGAGCGTAGCCTACATATCCATTTTTGGTTGAGGAAAGTCTCAGTAATCCTATTTTTGGGGGGCTTTGGGGCTGTGGCTGAGTTTTGCTCCCCTCGCCTCAGGTCATTCACTGCAGCGGCTACTTGAAAATCCGTCAGTACAGCCTGGACATGTCCCCTTTCGACGGCTGCTACCAGAACGTGGGTCTGGTGGCTGTGGGCCATTCGCTACCGCCCAGTGCTGTCACGGAGATCAAGCTGCACAGCAATATGTTTATGTTCCGCGCCAGCCTGGACATGAAGCTCATCTTCCTTGACTCCAGGTAGGCGGGCGAAGGCGCAAAGCTGCCCAGTTCAGTGACTGGGAACTTCCAGTAGGTCTTAAGCGCCCATTTTGCATATGAAGTGACTGACGGAGCCCTGAGAAGAGAGGGCAAGCACCCTTGTCGGAGACGTCTCTTTGTAGTGGGGGAGGGCTCAGGGGGACAGCCCTACACCCCACACTCATCTCACGGACATTGTTCTCCTCAGAGTGGCAGAGCTGACGGGGTACGAGCCTCAGGACCTGATTGAAAAGACCCTGTACCACCACGTGCATGGCTGCGACACCTTCCACCTGCGCTGTGCGCATCACCTACGTAAGACGCCGCCCCGCCCTGGTTGCTCTGGCGCGTCGCTGGGTGGGAAGGTTTCTGACCACTGGAAGCTGACGGGTGGGAGATCTCCTCGCAGAGATAGGTAGAGGCGGTGCTTGTACACTTTGCCCACTTTGCCCCCGCCAAATTTTTCTAACAGCCGCAGGCCAAACAGGAAGGTTGATGGGACATTTCTAGTGAACTCTCCCCTTTCCCTTCTCCCTCCACTACGATGCAAACAAACTAGGTTAGTCTGTTTGCTCTCTATGCATTGTTTCTTCTCAGCCTTTTGTATACTTTTGAGCGTAATCTCTCGGGACAGGAAACGTGAGTGTCCGAATTTAGCTGCTCAGACCCTTTTTTCCTTCCTTCTGCAGTTAGAAAATGGAATCTGCGGGAAGCCCCTCACCTTAAGGTGTTCCCTTTTTGTTAAAGGTGAAGCCATCAGACCAGTGAGGTGCCACCCGTTAACATCCCGTGAAGGGGGCCGGCAGGATTCAATGAAAATTAAGTGGACAATCAATTCTTGGAGAATTTCCCTATTGTTTCTCCTTCCTGTCTGACTCAGATATTATTAGGTCCTACAAGGGACTCCCACCTCCAATACCAGGCTTGTGGCGTACTCGTTCACCATTCCTGCGTCTGTTTCTCCATTAGTGCTGGTGAAGGGACAAGTGACCACCAAGTACTACAGGTTCCTGGCGAAGCACGGCGGCTGGGTGTGGGTGCAGAGCTATGCGACCATTGTGCACAACAGTCGTTCGTCCAGACCTCACTGCATCGTCAGCGTCAACTACGTTCTCACGTGAGTGGTCCAAGGAGTCCCCCACGTCCACTCCGGGTTACGCGGGCTTTGGCGCGGCGCAGCGCAGCGTGGCCCAGCAAGTTGAGGCTTGAGTCCACTGGGTATGCCGGTTTGGCCTCCCAGTGCTCTGGGAGCAGGCGGTTCCAGCGCTTTCATCTTTCTGAAAAGGCAGTCTTCGTTATTTTCTAGAGAATGATTTAGGAGTTTTTCCATCCACAGTCCATATTTGCCTTCTACTTTCTTTCTTTTTTTTTTTTTTTTTAACCTTTTAAGCCAACTCTGCATTAAATAAAACTTAATGCAGCAGAAAGGAAAAAAAAAAAGTGGGTGCGGGCGGGGCCGACGTACGGAGCCATTTATGGTTAACAAACAGGACATCTGTTTCACTTTTTCAGATCTGGGGTTTGAAGTTCTTAATTTTAACCAGAGTCTCCAGTCAAAGTTAAGAGTTCTGAGAGAGTGGTTCTCTTCCTGAACCACAAAGCGGGTTTAAGTGACCAGAAAGCAAAGACACCCGAGCTAAGGGCTAATGCTGCAAGCCTTGGCCGGCACCCATGCCCTGCACATTGTACTGTCGCTTGGCCGGGCGAGGAGCTGGGCTCGCAGTGCCACCTGCGGGCGCGGCTGTTGGGGTGGCTGTGGCAGCTGCATTTGAGCCTTACTCTTTTCTGGAAACAATAATCGTTTCTAGTTGCTGGTGTGGCCCTGCAGGCTGATCACGTGGCCTAGTATGTGGCTGGTAAAGAAAGCACGTTCTGTATAATGTTTGTGAAAGTAGAATTGCTTAGGGTTGAAGTCTTTATGAAGAACTCTTTTGTGTGCGCTGTGTCCAATTTTTTTTTTAAATAGAGGTTGAAATTCTTGTGATTTTAGGGGACCTCTAGAGCTACTTACTTGAGAAGGATTGACACACCAGGCACTTTGTACAAATGATATTTTGACCTTATGAAGTTAGCTAAAGGGTGCTATTTGGAATCCAACTAGACTACACTTGATAAAAATGATATTAATTTCACAGTCTTCTAAATTGATGAATTAAAAATGAAGTAGTTAGAAATTGTATGCTTGGCAATATGAGTATTTACTCTGTGCTCTGTTTAATAAGAAAATATAATCCAACAGATTTAGACAATGAAATTCAATGAGGATTCTGTATTGAAGAATAATAGCTGGTTATTAAGCAGAATTTATTTCTCTTAGTTTAGTAAACAGTGTTAAAGTTAATACTGTTAGAGTTAGTCATAGCAAGAAGGTGGTGGATTTTAATGGAACAGAAAACCTACCAATGTTTGAGCATCAGAAAACAAAACCAACTATTTTATAAATATATTTTGTCATATTATTAAAATAAACACAAGAGAAAATGGCAAGGCATAATCCATAAAATAAGCCATTCTGTGAAGCAGAAGTATTAAAGGGTGAAAAATTATGTCTGCTTACCACAGAAAGGAAATGGACATTCTTTAAGAAGGTGCTTTGTATGTCTGAGACATCACAAGCATTATACATACGTTCTGCTCTCTGGTGGGTGCCTGTGGTTAGTAATCATTTTTTATCAAACAGCAGGGTATATAGTCACACAGACCCATATAAATGATCAGAATGCGAGTTAGACCTCCCAATGGGTAAACTTAATTTATGTTTGGAGTCATTTTTGAAATACTCTGTTTTGTTTTCCAGTGAATAAGTGTACTTTCTTTTCTCTGTTGACTGTCATTTTTCACTTTGCACATTTATTTAGAACTGCTAAATTAAACTACCAGCTTTATGTTAGATTAAAAAGATGTAATGAGGATAAGTAAATGATTTATAAAGGGAAAATTAGCATGGTACACATTTTCCTGAACGTTTTATACCACCAAATGAAAATAGAAATAAACATGCAGAAACATGTATACACAAAAGCACACAAGATAAAAAGCTGAAATTGATTACCATTTTATGACTCTGCAGCTCCAATTCTTTGTACAAAAATTCTTGGGACAATTATTATAGCTGCAAATGTGGAAACTGCCTTAGACAAACTGTCATCAAGTGGCTCTATGTGTGTTGACAGGATTTTCATAATGAACAGGTTGCAGTTTGTTTGATGTGTATATTGCACATCTGGCTGGAAGTTACTAATTTACATTGTCTTAGCAAATTAAATAGATGGTTATTGATTCTCTATGGTAGCGGTGAACTACCACATACATTTGTTTTCAGGGCTAGCTCTCTGCAAAGACTGAGAATGATAAGTGAATTCTTTCCAAATACACCACCTCAAACCATGTACTTTAAACCACAAGCTTCCAAATAATTTGACATGCCAGATGTTTTCAAGTTTAAGTACTTTAATAGCTTATATTTTAAAGCAATTTTCATGTCACCAAGGTAACAATTTTAAATAAACATTGGACAAATGAAAGTATGACTTTTTATACTCACGAGAAGCTCATTTTACTAAATTTCTGATAATAAGTTTATTGTTAAGGTTTTTTTAAAATGGCTAGAAAAATCAGTTTTTATTATCTAACAGTAGAATCAGTGAATAGAAATGTTCCACAACCTTGTTTTAATAAGCAGCTGCAACAGTGTAGATATGAGAGCTAAAGGCAGGTGGCATCTACCCTGGCACTTTTACTGGCTCTTATGTGACTGTCATGTGTCTTAAAAATTGGGAGGCGAGAGTAAGAAGATGCTATGGTTAAATTTTAAGAATTCTTACTTTTTTCATAGTTCTGAGACTTAATATAGCTTCCATAGCTTTTCATTAGATCACTGGGAAAAAAATTACTGACAGTTCATTAATCTTTAAATGACATACATGATCCCTGGTAATTTTATTAAAATTTTAAATGGTCACAGACATGACAAGTCCTGATTTCTTATTTTTCAAGAGGATACATGAGTGTAGCTAGTGTCTAGTGACATAGAATGCTGGAGAAAGTCCAGAAAAGTGTGGAGAGTAAAAGGAAAGTATACTGTGTAAGCAATAAAACTATTTTCTTGAGCTCATATTTCCTTTAGTTCAATTACAATGATTAATTATTTAAATGATTAATTATCCAAGTTGATAAACATTAGGACTTAATATGAAGAAAATTGAAACTGTGGAACACCCAATAAATGATGAAAAATTTGCTTTATGGTTTTAGACTTCATATGTTTTCAAAATAAGGAGTATTAAACACTTTTAAGGATAAAGACATTTTGCCTTTTTTTTTTGTCCTCCAAAGTTAAACCAGTGAAATACAAAATTTATATTTTAAAATATGTTAAAACTTATTTAAAACTTATCAAACATATAGAAAAGTTGAAAGAATATACAATGAAGAGTTATATAGGCATCACCTACACTCAACATTGAATAACATTAGCTATATTTGCTCTATGTTTTCCTCCATATATGTTGTTGTTGAGTGCCATTGAGTCAATTCTGACTCATAATGACCCTGTATAGTGCTTCTTAGGAGCGACTGGTAATTTTGAACTGCCGACTTTGCAGTTAGCAGTCCATTGCTTATCCTACAGTGCCACACCAGGAACCCTTCTCTATCTATATGTGTGTTTATTTATATGTGAATTTCCCTCACTGAATCATTTCAAAGGGGACTCCTATAGGATGTACAGTCAGTTCTCCATTATTCATGGGTTCTGAGGATTCACCCAACCTCAGAATGAGAATAATCTGGAAAGAAAAAAGCAATTAAGAAGGAGCATAAAGTGCTATATAGCATTTACATTGTATTAGGTATTATAAGTAAACTAGAGATGATCTTAAGTATACAGAAAGATGTGCACAAGTAAGTTATATGCAAATATTACACCATTCTGTATAAAGGACTTGGGCATCCATGGATTTTGGGATCTGTGGAAGTCCTGGAACCAATCCCTCCTGGATTCCCACAGAGGACTGTAGTTGTAAATGTTAGTATTTGACACTCTTGTTTCTAGTGTAAATTATAAGCTAGTGCTTTACTGATATTGTGACTAGAAAGCAAAAGGGAGAGATTAGATTTAGGGAATGATTTGGTAATTTTGGATGCAGAAAAATTTAATATGTTCAACTACTTTCTGATGGCAAATAAGAGCTTCTTTGTTTACTTCCAAAGTTTAGGATGGAACACTGTTCTGGTGAAAAATCTTACAAAATGTTTTATAGTGATTCAGCAAGCACATAGAGGGAAGTCATTTTCTGTATTAAAATTTCTTTCAGTGTTACTAAGAGTAGAACAAATACAGACAATTCCTATTAGTGGCTTGCATAACACTCACTATCTTCTAAATACTCCTTTAAAATTTATTGTATTTTTTCATGTCAAAGGAAAAAGAAAAGAGATTGCTGCATCTTAGTTGGTACAGAGATCATTTTTGTTTTCGTTTGCATAAAACTAGTTTAGTTCTCATAATTAATGTTCAAATGTTGGTGTGTTTTGTGCATGTAACCTTTCCTAACAGAAAGAAGCAAACATTAAAATATAATACCATAACAAGTAATAGGACTTGAAATGTGTTTTAAATCTGAATTTAAAGAGCTTGTTAGGTTGTTGTTAGGTGCCATCGAGTTGGTACTGACTCATAGCGACCTTATGCACAGCAGAATGAAACACTGCCAGATCCTGGGCCAACCTCACTATTGTTGCCACGCTTGAGTCCATCGATGCTGCTACTTGGCCAATCCATCTCATTGGGGGTCTTCTTCTTTTTCTCTGACCCTCCACCTTACCAAACATGATATCCTTCTGCAGTAACTGGTCCCTCCTGAAAATGTGTCCAAAGTATGAGAGTCGAAGTTTGGCCATCTTGGGCTCCAAGGAGCACTCTGGCTGCACTTCTTCCAATGCAGACCTGTTAGTTCTTTTGGCAGCCCATGGCACTTTCATTATTATCCTCCAACACCATAACTCAAATGCATCAATTTTTCTACGATCTTCCTTATTCCAGCTTTCACATGCATATGAGGCTATTGAAAATACCATGGCTTGGGTCAG